CGTGCATTACATATAAACTCTATTACGTAGAACATTTGCTACATATTGCGTTATGTAGAATCTATAGCTCAGGGTAGAGTGTTACTGTGTGGATTGGGTCGTGTGTAAGAATGGACAAGAAGGGAAGTCCATAGAGCCTTGAAGAAGTCAAGATTTTAGTGCTTTGTAAAGCATCCTGCCGGGAGTCTGTATCATAAAGCAGCATTTCTTGAAAAGACGATGCCTGATAGGAACATACCTGTTACTAATAGATTCCGGGTGGAATAGGACGGATTCACCCTTGTGTACGTGATATAGATGCTGTTGTTCATGATGACGGTCGTCTTTGAGTATAGAATCCAGAGGTTAGCAGTGAATATTTTGAAGACAGTAGGAAAGCGTTGTTCAGGTTAGCAGTGGATATCCCGGTAAAGTAGCAGAGCGTTTTTTTTTTCCTTTTGTTCCTCTTCGCCTGACAAGCTGGCACTAGACATTCGGATAGCGTAAGCAAAATGTCCGCCTTTATACACGACGGATTGAATATTCTACGTCTTCTGATTGGTTAACCTTCTATTGGTGGACTATAAAATGAGTCAAGTCATTTGGACTGGCTCACTAGTACATAATGTATCCAAAAATTGTAACAGATGTCAAACCTTTGGCTTTTGAAGAATCACCTAAATGTAAATTTTCGGACATTTTTCTAAATTAAATTATTAGTTCACTTCGGGCTTTCTCTTTCCGAAGATTTTATTCAGTAATAATAATAATAATAATAATGAGCAAAAGTAAATTCTGTGTACCAATCACCGAAACCAATGGCAAGATCAGACTCTTCTTTATCAATACTCTGACTGTACCAAACAAGCTGATGTTGATAAACCTCGTACCCATTACCGGTTAAGTAGTGCAGGATGAATAGTTGAAACCGAGGGTTTTTATTCTTACTGCAAAGGACCAATGTATACTTACTAGAAACTATCAAGCACATAGACTGAAAAATGGTGTTGACTCCAAATGCAGATTCTGTGATAAATAGCCAGAATCAATGGCCATCTTTTAAAACCAACTGAATATAATAGTCGACATGATAGAGTGGGCGAATATATGCACTGGAAAATATGCAAATTTTACGTGAAGGAAAATGCAAGAAATTGATTTGAACATCACACAGACCTCGTTACAGAAAAAGGAATTGTAATAATGTTATAGGACTTTACAATATACACAGGCAGAACAAAGTTAATAGCCCAGACATCGTGATCAAAGACCACAAAAACAGAATTTACTTTCTTATTGACATGTCAGTCCCTGCAGATTGTAATGTATATTTGAAGATCTTAAAATAACTATCAAAATACAAGAATCTAGAAGAGGAAACCTAAAAATGTGGCACATGAGGACATCAATAATTCCAGATGTAGATGTTCTCAGTTTGTTTGGAAATGGTTCCGATAGGCTCATTGAAGAAATTCCTGTTAATCCATGCCTTAAGGAAATACAAACATTTGTACTCACAAGTAAAATTCATCTAGTACGAAGAGCTTTATCTATGTAAAATGTATGTGATCTTAGATTGGGAGTGGGCAGTTTCTTTTACAAAAATGATCAGTGGAAAATGTCATGGAGCCATTTCTGACGTAATGTCTGGTTAGGACCTGGAAGGAAATGTTTATAGGACAGTAATCAAAGGAACTACTATTACTACTACTACTACTACTACTACTACTGCTGCTAATAATAATAATAATAATAATAATAATAATAATAACGAAATACCTTTACTTTATAAAGTATCATCCACGTTTAGCTCTTTTTACCTAATATACCTGGCTCGCAAATGTAACTAACGCCACTCTAAACAATACATTCCATGCAGTAAGGAGTTAAATAGTTTTAGCAAGAACTAATTACATGAAAGATGTTCCGAAATATAGTAATTATTAAATCTAGGGAGCTGCGCCCAAATTTTTTCATTGTAGATTCTTCTTTGGGTGCTGTCAATATCTGTAAATTCATATCAGAAGCTCCACATCAGCTGTGCCAGCAGTATACGATGCGTGGAACAATGGTAATTTTAGAAAGTGTTTAGAAAGATTCTGTCGAGAAAAATTATCTAGTATAGCACAGAGAATTAAATTTCTTAGCCGTAAACCTAACAATGGAATCACATCAAGTTAGTGGCAAACATTAGACCCAGAAGGTGCAATGAGTCAGTCTCGTGGATGATTGCCTCAACCCTGCTGATGGAAAGCAAAAATGTCTTCTTATACGATTAAAATAAAGCCGTTTCGTTTTGGAGGCATTACCATGAACAAGCCAAGTTGACAACAGATTGAAGGTTATTTTTGAGATCAACTGCCAATTTGACTTTATCGAACCTATCAAACTTACCAGTAAGACAGGTAAATAGATGATAAAAAAACGTATATTTGATATAAGATTTTTACGTAATATTTGCATGTACACGCCAACGGACACAGGCTGACAAGCAATTTAATATATAAATTCGTTCGTTCAAAGTTTACACCAAAAGGTAATTCTTTAGAAATCAAAAATAAATTCGTATAAATCAAAAATAAATTTATATACGAAAGACATTTTTAAATAAATGTAAATGAATAATTATGAAAAAAATTTTTATAGACATAAAACTGTTTTTTAATTAAAACCTAAGTTTTGTAAATAAAAAGTAATGTTTTACTAATAAACTTAAATTTGTACAAATCCAAATAACGTTTTACTGCAAAAATTTACTTTTTTACAACTCAGAAGTAAATATATAAAATGATAAATATTTACGGATGAAAATTATTTTTTTTAAAAAATGAAAAATAGATTTGTACAAATTAATAGTAAATTTATACTAAAATACTTTTTTCAAAACAAATATAAATTTGTACAAAGCGAAATTAAATTTTTGTAACGCAAAATTACTTTTTGTAACACAAAATTATTTTTTTAAATCAAAATAATGTTCTGTAACGTAAAATTTTTACAACTCAAAATAATTTTGGAGGAAAAACAAACTAAACCTCTGTGTATCAAAATTAAATTTTAAGAAACCGAAAGTAATTTGTAAAAATTAAGTTAAATTTTTGTAACTTTGGTAACAGTAAATAGTAATTGGAGAGGAAATATATATTTCTTAAAAATTTATTGTATTTATATTTTATATCAGGAATTTTAAACATTTCTTTTGTAAAATCTTACTTTTCTCTCTTGCGGCCTCAGCCGAGATTGAACTCACCAATACTTTGATTGGTGTAGTTCATAATC